GCCAATGCTGCTCGATTCAAAGACAAATGCGTCCTGCACCCGATTCCAGAAAAGTCTGCGGTTTAGGGTTTAGGGTTTAGGGGAGGAAGGTTTAGTTTCTGGTTTGGGTAAGTATTGGGCCTAAATAGTTACCAATACTATTTTGGGGGGTTCCTGATTGTAGTTATAGTATAATATACCCAAAACCCTGTTCTAATTATTAAGGCCCCTATATACATTAGATCAGCCCTGCAGGTTTAACAGTTCGTGATTATGCTTGGAATTGGGGTGGGGGGTGGGAGCAGTGGTGAAAAGTCCGAAACCAAAGCCACGCCGCGCAGGGAGCCTTGAAATACACACCCTTGACAAGAGCCATCTCTGCATATTTTTGATAACCCCTTGCTAGGCAGCAGCGATTCCTGCACAAAACACAGAACTCACAAAAGCCTTGAGTTTCGAGCTTGCGACAAGAGCCATTTCTGCATCCCTTTCTAGGCAGCAGAGGTTCCTGCACAAAATACAGAACTCACAAAAGCCTTGAGTTTCGAGCTTGCAAGAAAATGAAGGCATAGGCTTCGGAGTCAAAGGTTTTTAGTACAGGGAGCCCTATAGAAAACAATTACCTACAGTACCTTGAAACCCTGAGCTCGAAGGGTTGGGAGTGTTCAGTGTAGGACTTGACATGGTTCGAGCATCCTAGCATGGAGTTACAGCGTGATCGGGTCATGGCGTCTTGGCGTCGCTTTTTTCCGTAGTTCGACTGCTATGGGTGTTGTAGTAGTCTAGTGTGGCCCTACCGGTAAACAACGAAGGCACCGACAAACACGACGACGACGACGGCGACCACGGCCACGACGACTACTAAGACGATTATTGCCGCTGCTGTAAATCGCAAGCATATCGTGCTTCAAGCAGCGACAACATGTCCAGTGTCGGCTTTGTACTTATGACCTTTCTTTGTGTTCTGCCTGTTCACTTGATGCATTTGCAGACATATGTCTCTTATGTCTCTTTACTTAAAGGATTAAAAGAGATCGTGTTGCTTTACTCTCGTTGCGACATTGTCACATGCTCGTCGAAAACCCCGGCACGAGGCTCTGCACAGCATGTTTCAAGGGTACTTGTCTTTGCACAGGCTTTAGGGTTTAGGGTGGCTTGAAAGATGCTTTCCTGGTCCCCCTGCAGCTGTCTGCCCATGCCACGTGCAATCAGAGCCTGGGGTTCGGGATGGTTGAATTGGTGCTTAATCACTTGAGGTCGCGTCAGTTGGTAAGACAAGGCACGAGAGGTTGAATTGCTACTTGATTGGTACGTATTAGTACAGGGCTCTATCACTGAACGGGAGATTCCATGTTCGGATTTTGGGATTTTGCTGTGACGTGCAAACCGCTTGGACCCATGGCAACTGCTTTCGCAAAGCTGGGTGACCTGGTCGCAGATGGCCTCGAATGCAATTTTTTTATCGCCGTGTACCAGTCCCAAACCCAACATTCTGTGCACAATTAGCAGGATCAACCTTGGAGCGTTCAAACGGTTGGGAGGTTTGGCTGATTCCGTCTCGAGCTTCGGTTGATTCAGGCTCGTCTTGCGGATTTTACGGCAAGAAGCACGCCAGCTTCACCAGCTTCGATTCGGATGTCTCCCAGCAGTGGAGCCTAAAGCCCGTTCCGTTTTGGTCTAGCGTGTGGGTTCAGAGCACCATTTGATCACTTGTCGGAAGCGCAGCCATTCCGATAGCGACGCGACGACGAGGAACATGACTACTGCTTACTCATCTTCGGATCAGACCAACACTTTAGCGCGAATGTCAAGCAGGGAAGCAGCTGTAACACCACTGGGTTCTGGTTTCGCAACAGGCGCCGTGCAAAACTGGTGTGGCAATGCGGAAGAAGCGACAGGAACCGCGCTCGCAGACATTCACCCCCTACGGCAACATTATCGTCCTCACCATCAGCATCAGCATCTTCTTCAGCCCCATCTTCATTTTCCACCCCCCCACCCTCATTCATCATTTATCATGAGCAGGAGCACCATCCCCTGTCCCGTCACCAGGATGTCCACCACAGTCACTATCATCACCTGCCTCGTCGCCATCTTCGGCATCTTCATCGCCAACATCACCATCAGCGTCAGCAGTCGCCACGTTACCATCACCATTTGGGAGTTTCAGAAAGTAAGGGACCCTGATACAGGACCTCAACTAGTAGGATCCTTATTATCAGGACCCCAAAATAAGGTAGCCTAGTTTTCTGAAATTCCCATTTCTGTCACCATCACAGCCGCTGCAGGAATAGCGCCATCCCTTCCATGCCGTTCGCAAGGCTCAGTCCCGAACCCCAAGCTTGTAAAGCTTGCAACAAGCTTTTCCGAGATGTTTAGCAGATCTTTAAACGTACAGAAGCAGTAACACACAGCCAGCCGGAACAATAACGTCAAGTTTATTTCAGGCCCGACACTAAATCCTCAGGCCCGACACTTAATCCTCAACCTCAGATCCCGAGCCCCAAACTGATCAAGGCGGCGTGGCAGCTCTCAGCTCAGATCTGAGGTGTGTTAATGCAGACGGTGCGAAATGCTTCATGCCACGCGGGGTGAGGCTTCAGGGTACTTGAGGGTCTATCTATTTAGAAAGGGAGGGAGGGAGAGAGAGAGAGAGAGAGAGAGAGAGCGAGCGAGAGAGGCCCCGGGGGCTTACCAGCTCCCTTGACGCAGTGGAAGAAGAACGAAGGAGAGAGAGCGCGACGATTCAAGGAGTAGGGCTTACGCTATAGATGGTTGCCCCTACGCCCTGATCCTTAAACCCTAAACCCTAAACCCTAAACACTAAACACTATAGGTGGTTGTCCTTTTATGGAGGAGCTCTCTGCGTTTCATATCAGCCCGCGATCCTCCTCTCAGCAGGTTATCCGAAATCATGGGGGGGTGCCATAAAGGGTTTGGGGTTTAGGGTTTGGGTTTTTGGGGTTTAGGTTTTGGTGGGTGTACTTCAGAGAAGCCTCATTTAAAAGTGTTTAGGGTTTAGGGGCTAGGGTTCATCAAGTCCAGATGTAAAAGGAATGAACCCTAAACCCTAAACCCTAAACCCCAAACCCTAAACCCTAAACCCTAAACCCTAAACCCTAAACCCTAAACCCTAAACCCTAAACCCTAAACCCTGAGCGGCAAGATCCCAAGCCCTCCTGAAGCTCCATTGCCAGATCTGAAGTCCAGAAGAAGTGGAGCCCCTTTACTTGGAGGGTCGGGGCACTTAGTAACTTAGTAAATAGTTAATTTCGTAGACTTATAAGTACTATAACCCTAATTAGGGTCCCTTTTAGGATACTTATAAGTCTACTTATTACCTACTTACTAAGTCTCCCGACCCTCCAAGTACTCATCGCCCTTGGTGTAAGCTTTGTCTAGGGCGTTCAGGGCTTGGGGTGTGTTCTTTGTGGTATGTGCTGCTTTGGGGTTTAGGGCCCTGGGGTTTAGGGTTTAGGGTTACTGGCAGAGTCTGGGTTCAAAAAAGGGTTGCAATCTCGTAGTCAATTAAGGGGTCTTCAGGGTTTACAGAACGCAAGCTCTCGGGAAACCCCTAAACCCTAAACCCTAAACTTCAAATCCTATAATCCATAAAACCCCAAACCCTAAACCCTAAACCCTAAACCCAAAGCCTAAACCCTAAATCCTAAACCCTTTTCTTTCCCAGGCCGAGCCGGGGCTGTTGCCACCTGTCCTCCGGGCTCCGCAGCTGGGCTTGCGACGAACTTTGGATGCAACGGTTAGGGTTGGGTTTAGGGTTTAGGGTTTAAGGTTTAGGGGAACCTGAATCTTTCTGGAAAGGTCTGAGTCTGAATCCTTATGGACCTGTTTGAGCCTGAATCCTTATGGAACGGTTTGAACCTGAATGCTCAGTTTGAGCCTGAATCCTTATGGAACGGTTTGAGCCAAAATTTTCATGGAACGGTTTGAACCTGAATCTTTCTGGAAAGGTCTGAGTCTGAATCTTTATGGAACGGTTTGAGCCTGAATCGCTATTTATGTTTTTTGTTGAGCCACTACATAGCAAGATCTTTTCTTCAAGGGCCCATGGTTCAAGGCAGACACGGCTTCAGAGGCTTAGGGTGTGGGGGATGCTGGTTTTCGGGTTGGAGACATAGGGTTTAGGGTTTAGGGTTTAGGGTTTAGGGTTTAGGGGTTAGGGTTTTCGGCGGGGAGTCTTGGTGTCAAGCAAGATATGCTACTATTCGTAGGGTTTGGCTCTCTTTCTTTCTCCGTGTCTCCCTACCTCTTTCTTAAATTTTGCATGCCTGCACATGTATGGACACCAATACTGTTTTGAAACGCATGCATTCTCTACTATTGGTATATTTTCAGTTAGTTTCAGGGGTCTATGATGCAGCTTCCCTGTCGCGACGATGTCAGCAGCTTACTGAATCAGAAAGTTGCAGCAGCTTGCGGTGGACCCAAAACCCCTACCCTACCCAGAAGCGCTCAACGTGCAGGGTAGGGGATGTTGAATCTTTATCAACCTGAAACCCTGAACCTTAAAACCTAAACCCCCAAAGAATCTTGACAGGCCCTTGAGGGCTTGGAGAAGGAACCCCATCAGTGAGCACGGTTACAATGCCCGTCAACATCCTTAAAAGGGAGCTTGCGATCAAACTGACGCCCTAAACCAGGAGCTCGAAAAGCCTAACACGCCCGAAGTTAGCGGCCTTGTAGTAGCAGTTATCTAGCACAGCAGCACATCGTTGCAAGTGCGATTTTAGCATTGTTGCGGCTCTGGGTGCAGGCAGCAAAGACATGCTGAGCATCCAAGAGCATACACGGAGGCTTCTGACAACATAGTCTCCAGCAGCCATCTTGCAGGAATGCTTTGAAGCTCGGAAACCAGAAACCATCCTTAAGTGGCTTCTGGTTCAAGCCTAAACCCAAAAAACTGTAGAAGCAACAACACATACCGGGAGCTGTCGTTCCGGTATAGACACAGCTGCCCAATGAGTAGCAGCCTCTCCACCATGGCGCGGCCGTGCAATGCGATGGAAGAGATCTTCGTGGGTGCCAACATCCGATTTCTGGCAGCCCTGGGCATTCCGGCGGTGGACGTCGGGAGCCCCCTTCTTGCTTGAGTGTTAGGGTTTAGGGTTTAGGTAGGGTTTAGGGTTTAGGGTTTAGGGCTCTTGCTTGAGTGAGCTTGCTTGGTACCATGAGCGTTGTTTGGGGGTGTAGGATCTGGGGTGAAGGAGTTAATAGTACTGGCGCTACTGGGCGTTTATCATGTACAGACGTTAACTGTATGGGTTATGTGAACCGCCTGAGAAGGAATGTCTAAGCATTTTTGGGCGTTGCAGAACCTTTGCAGCCACACGGCTAACCTTCTACTGGGCTTTAGGTCTACTTTCGGTTCCAGGTTTCAAGTGTGGTGGGTTTAAATGCGCGAGGCCTCGGAAGAGCACGATTCACTTGGAGTAAGGGCTAGTCAACTACAGCAAACCCCCAGACCCGAAACCCTGAACCCGATGCCTTAAACCCTATCGCGAGACCCCATACTTATTCGTATTAGGCTTCCTTACGGCCGTAGGGGTTCGGGATACGTGCAGCATAGAACCACGCGCCAGGAGCCTAGTCGAACTACTTAGGCTTCTATGGTTCAGAGTAGTGGGATTTTGTGTTGGATGTCGGAGGCTGACGAATATTTGCCAATGCTACGTCCTGAGGGTTCCAAAACCCCATCCGAAAGCGTTAAGGCCCCTCTATGGGTTGTTCTCTGAATTGGGGTCCCTTTTTAGGAGCCCAAAATAAGGCGGCACCCGAATACGAGACACTAGACTCGACCCTGGTTTTAGCTCGCGGCGTCAACCGTG